ATTTTTCTCTTTTTTCAGCAAAAAGTCCATAAGGGGTTTCCAGTCACTGATAAATGTAGTTCTTTCTCTAATCAAACAAGTTAATTTTGCCATCAGAAAAACAGCATGGAGTCTGTTGGGAGTTAAAAGGACAGTAAGTTCTAGGGGGTAGTCAACAGGGAAAGGAGGTTAAGTGAGAAGGTGGTCCTGGATGCAGGTTGGTTACAAGATGCTGGAACTCATCCTAAATTAGAACAGGGAAATGGTTTTATACCAAGGCAGATCATTAGTCCAACTCATCTAGTATTGTTGATTGAGGCTAAGCTCGCCTAACACGCTACCATTTGTTGAGCAAATCACAGTTGCCTGAAGTTGTGCAATATGCTAAGCCACAAACCATGGTTTGCAAACCACAATGACTGGGTCTAAGGCAGAAACAAGAAAAAACATACTATGGCTTCGCATATGGTGTTAAATAAACCCACTTGCTGGTAGCAACTCTCCAACTTTACAAGTAGATTGCCTACCTGAAGGGCTAAGTCCTGAAGCTGGGGGCTTTTCTTCTGTGTTCAAGCCATCGGCTCTGTTCTGAGCTACAGCCCAGGGTTGTCTGCAGGGTGTGGTCAAAAAGGTCAAGAGGCTGGCTATGGTGGCATCGCACATAAAAAAACACACAGAGCTTGACTTTTTTGACCACGCCCTGCAGATACCCCTGCTACAGCCCCTTCCTATGTTCCCTCAGAAGTCCTTCCAAAGTGAATCCTTCTTCCTGAACAGTAGTCATGGATATTTGCAGCGGGGACCAACATGTGCCTCACGATGTGAACAGTGCCATTAAGGTACAGTACACTACAATGCAAGGACTGGGTGGCTTCCTTTACATAAAGATATCATAACATGTGTGTCATTTTGAAGTGATGGCTTATGACAGATGGTACTCTTAGGACTTTTGCAGTCAAGGATCCAGCAAAGGGGGAGTTGGTTGTGGGCAAACATCCAGGGCCTCTTTCTTTAAATGGCAATATGTATTATTTAACATAGGCTAACATGTGGCAAATCAACCCTGCTGTGGGGGTGGTGTGGGGTCCAAGCCCTTTAAGATAGGGTGAAGAAACAGGCATGTTAGCAAAACTATTGTAGGTAGGTAGAATAATAAAAACTTGGAAGTTTCTCTCTATTCTATCTTACACCAAACAAAATCAAGGCAGTTTTTACTTTGTTTCTCACTTCAGGACTCAGCGATCTTTTCTGAAACTCCTTCCTTAATGGGTTTGTCATTCCTTCCCCATTTCCAAGGCCCAGGCTACACACTTTCACAAGGGGCAACCTGTTTAATTTTGTTTTTTTCTGAGAAAAGGCGTAACATTGTTAAGAACATTGCCTTAAGAGTCTGATATGGCAACACCATTCTTCCATACTATGCCAGAAATGCACAGTGGATTACTAACAGAACAGGCAAGACTGTAAAGGAAGAAAACCCAATGGTTTGCTTTACACGCTGCAGTTAGCCAAAATCAGTCTTGTGTATTTGCTTCTCTTCAAGAGAGGACCCCTAGATTAATACATACAGATTCTTCCCCAAGCTGGCGCCCTGCAAATGAGTGGGATTGCAAATTCTTGGTTGGATTAGGATGATGGAAGTGGTAGTTCCACCCATCTGGAAGACACCAGCTGAAAAACAGTAAACCTGGAAATAAATGGATGGGTACCCTTAGATTACAGATGGAAGACGCCACTTTGAATGCTTCTGGATAAGAAATGAAAACAAAGCAAAAATCCCTTCAGCATTTTGCCACACCTGTAGATGTAAGATGTGTTATTTTTAACACAAGAAAGGAAGTACTGGGCTAAAGGTCTTTTACTAACTGATCCTTGCCTTGTTGTCTGAAGGGCCTGCTTAGCAATACTCTAAAGGTTGCCAGCCATGATTCAGCAAGAACTTCTCCTGCCTCTTTAACAAGAAACATGCACCAATCACTTGGGAACATGTTCAATAAGCAGAATTCCAACCATTATTTGTGTTCTCCAGGTATTTCTGTGGCCTTTCTGAAAGACACCAAGAGAGTCAGGCGGCTCCCATTGCATAGCTGAAAACCTGTTCTTGCTTTTATGGTCTGGGAGCTAGACAAGGTCCCATAATGGCAAGTAGAAGGTCTGATCCCACAGTTGCCAGACATCACCACTCATTGGGTCAGCGAGAGGAGCCCAATTTGCAATGGGTTAGTCTTCGTGGGATTTGTAAGGGTGGAAGGAGCGTAAAATCCTAGGTAGAAAGGCCCCTTCCCTTAAATGTTGCCACCTGATGGGACCGCAGAAGCACGCCTTCTCGGTGGACACCCCAGCCCTTTGGAACAGCCTCTGCCCTGAGATCCGAGGGATCCTATCCTTTTAGCCTTCTGGAGGGTGGTGAAGATCTGGCGCTTCCCCCAAGCTTTGGGCTAGGATGAGGCTTGAGCTGGGAGGCTGTTTAGTCTGGTGCCTGGGGTACTTCTGCTTGTATGAATTATTGTGAGCCGCCTAGAATTATGATATGAGATAGGCGGCCATAGAAGCCCTGTAAATAAATTAATAAAATAAATCCAGCTGGTTAAAGTTCTCCGCTTACAATAGCACCGCGGAAGTTAAGGATTTTGTTTCTCACGACGGTAACTTCTAGAGGACCTTCGTCTATTGCAAGAAAGCGCCTAGTCCTCAAGACGCCTCAACGGCTTTTTTCATTTGCTCCGCGCATGCCGCTTTTCTGCGCAGAGGAGCGAGTTCCCACGTTAAGACCGACGACCCAACCCAACCGCCACGCCTCCCACCCAGCCCCCGGGAAGGAGAGTCTGCACGCTGCGTCACGTGAATCGAGCCGGCGGGCGTTAGGACGCCGGGGCTCCCTTCCGGCCGGACTCCGCCTTTCGCAAACCTTCGGCCGGAGCTCCTGAGATCGTCCTGAGTGGTCGGCGGCGGCTGCGCACGTCCTTCCTGGCCGCTTTATAAAAGGGGCGCGAATCTCTTTGTCCTGCAGAGCTCGGTTCTTGCTTCAACAGTGTTTGAACGGAACCGGTTCCACCGCCTTCGACCCCCTCTTTCCTCATCCCTTGACTCGAAACAGACGAGGGAGCGACTGACTGCCAGCCGATCCCCCAGCTCCAGCAGGATCCCCCTAGGCCGGACGCCGCTGCCTGTTGCCCGCCTGTCTCTTCATCTGCGCCTTGCAGCCCACCGGAGAAATGGAGTCCCAGATCCGCCAGAACTACCACCGCGAGTGCGAAGCTGCCATCAATCGCATGGTCAACATGGAGCTGTATGCCAGCTACGTCTATCTCTCCATGGTGGGTATGGGGCAGGGAGACGAGTGTATAGGGCAGCCCGACTCGGCACCCCCCCCCCGATCACCAGCCAGACTAGCTTATCCCCTACCCCATCTGGAAGACTGCGGAAGGCTGATAAAGAGAGGCGTAGTCATGGCTCCACCGCGGGCGGCTATTACAGTAATCCGCTTTCTTGGCTAACTAAACTACGGCGGCTTTCTTTCCCGGAGAAACTTTGGAGGCGCCGATGTTCTCCAGGAAAAGAAAGCGTGGCGAAAGAAAACCCAGGAGGATTCCGAGTGGTGCGATTCGGGAAAGGGGTAAACAGGACGGCGGCGTGGCCCAATCGCTGCCTTTGCACGCGCTGGAATTGTTCTCCGCGTGTCCTCGCGTGTACTTCGGAGGAACAGGCGCGCTCGCCCTATCGCTCGAGAAACGCGAAGGGAAGGCGTAACCAGCCGTCTTTCCCGCCCATTCCTTACTCACGCGTAGGATTCTCTCTCTTAAACGGTAGGAGTTAGGTTACCTGACGATGCATTTGGTGTTTTCAGTCTAGACCAGGGTTTCTCAGTCTTGGCAAGGTTAGTGTGCTGGGGAATTCTGGAGTTGAAGTCCACACATCTTCAAGCTGCTAAGGCTGAGGAAGCCTGGACTTTAAGATATGTGGACTTTAACTCCCAGAATTCCCCAGCCAGCATTCCCCAGCCACACATCTTCAAGCTGCCAAGGTTGAAGAACCCTGGTCTAGACTCATGGTATTCAAACTATGTTCCCTGGAACCCCAGTATTTTGTGAGAATCATCCAGGGGTTCAACATGACAGTTTACTCTAAACATAAATCTTCATTCCTTTGTTTTGTTTAAACGAAGTCTGTTTCATGGTCTAAAAGGTTCCTCAGATATCTCAAGTTTGAAGAACACCGGTTTAGACCAGTGTTTTTCAAACCTGGCAACTTTAAGATGAGTGGATTTCAACTCCCATGCTGGCTGGAGAATTCTGGGAGTTGAAGTCCACTCATCTTAAAGTGGCCAAGTTTGAAAAACATTGGTTTAGATCATATCTTAAATTGCTCTGCTGCTACTGCTCTTTCTCGTCCCTGTCCTGCTGCCTTCTGTCACTTGTCCAAGGAGCCCTGCGTGCCTCTCTTGGGTGGATCCACAAGCACCAGAAATAGAGATAGGCCTACTGAAGCATGAAGACAAATT